TACAACTAAGCTAAATGCATTGTTTGTGACATTTTATTTGGATAAGTACGAAACTTGTACATGATACAAATGTTGACTTTTTTTTTTTTGGGTACAAAACAATTGTTGACGTTTTTTGGAACAAAACAATTGTTGACTAAGTTAATATTAATGTATGCTTTCAAATGTGAAATATTTTGTGTTAACCATTGAAAAATTAAATACTTTTTTTTTTTTAAAGATATAACAACTACTAAAATTTATTTTTTTCTCCAATAATAACCTTTGATATGTTTTTTTTTAATGGAAAACCTTCTAATATATTTTAAATATTTTATTTTATTTTATCAAAATGCATTTTAAAATTAACCATACTTATCGGATAAAAATAACATTATCATATTTAATATTTAATTCATTTTAGAGGTGTTCACGAGTGCGGATCAACTTACGAATCTGTTGATGTAAATTGAATCAATTTATAAATTATTTGAATCCGTTTATTTACGCGTATATTCAATCCAACCCGCAATACTCATATAATGATTCATGTATCAGATTTGAATTTCTTAACTTGTGGATCTGTTAACGTAATTTGCTGATGTGATATTAGTGATTTTTTTAAATTTTAAATTGAATATAAAATTAATCTATTAATATAAATTACAATTTTGCCAAAATTATTTATTCACAGTCAATACTACTATTAGATAAATTAGTTTGCATAATTTGAAAACTAAATTTTGTTTTCATTTTCTTTTGTATCATTTTCAACTTATTTGTTGCAATGTTATATTTGTGAGAGTCTTAAATAAGATAGACACAAGGGTCCCTGCCTCGTGGGGTGTCGTTTGGACGCTGTCTTTGCATAACATAGGCGTTTACCCTCATGATAGGCACGTGCACATTACCATTATATCCTCCAGTAGTCACGTAGATTAGGTCATACGATGACTTTTTGAGAAATAGGTTGGTAACAGTCTCCTCCAGTCAAGGAGGAGAGATTACTGCTTCTTAGGTTGGTAACTGCTGAAGCGGTAAAGCAACAAGAAAAAAGTAAGTTATTATTTTACTGGGTGATATAGATTATATCGTATCGTGTCCACAGAGATTGGTGGTTACTGAATTTTCGTTCGACAAATCTCTCGTTAATGAGTTTGGGGTTTGAATGGGTTTAAAGTGTAAGGAAAGGTAAAATGTATTAACAGGAAATAAATACATTCTTCCAAGGAACAACTTATCAGGCATGCATATATTCCACTCCTCACAAACTTAAACCTATCGAACAGTTATACTCAACCTACAAGACTCGTCAATGTCATCATGTGTCAAACACTACATCCATTATATCATCTCTGGGGCGATCTCTCAACCAACCTTAACAACACATAAGTCAATTGTGCTACTCGCATCGACGATCTCTCAGAATGACATAACCAACATAAAGGCATTAACCACAGACACCTAAGTTAATAATAGCACTAAATCTATCTCTAGAATCTAGACATTATTAGACAATCATCCTAGATAAGAATTTGAGCAGTATATGTCTATAACAATCTAAACTCCAAGCACAGAGCAAAAATCCAGGATAATAATCGACAAAGATTTATAAAGCAAGTTTTATACAACGCCATGGGCGACAAATATATATGAGTTCAATGTAAATACATATACAAACTCAACATATAAAGAATACACAAAGAAGAAGAGAAATGAACCACAAATCTATCGGTTTGTCAGCGTCGATCAAAGAGAAATCCACCCTGAATCATCCGTATGCAAGCTTCAATGTTGTTTTCTAAGCTAATCTTATCAAAAAATGAAGGTTGATGGAGTTGGGATGAAAAAATACCCAAAACCATACCTAAACAAATGTATTTCTTAGCCTTAAAACGTTTTTCTGCCTGGTCTGCATCGCCCGACGACCAAAAAGCATCACCTGGCGCTTAAAACTGTGTTTTTTCACGCTTCTGGTCACTCCAACATCTCCAGGTAAGCTCGGGGCGACAACTGACAGCAAGTTAAAAAATCAGCACAATTTCAGTCATAACTTGAGAACCGTAACTCTGATTTGTGTATGGTCGGAAGCGTTGGAAAACTTATTCAATGTTCTATATAACAATGCCTAAATATAAATGCTTGAATATCTATAAAAATGAGATAAAATCAATTAAACTGAATGATATTTACATGATAGCACAATATATACACTGTAACGTAAACTATACCGAATATACACTAATATTGAGGTTTATTAACAAAAAGCAAACGAATTAAGACGATGAGTGCTAATTATTCACACTCAAATTCACAACAATTTAGCACTCATCAGTAACTCAAAATTTGTTCGTAGGCTTCCACACATCTCTACCAAGGTAACATGGGAGAGAATAACCTTTTTTGATGGATTAATCGATCTCAATCACAACTACATACACAAATGCAAACCCCTGAAATCCTCACGAAATATTCACAAAACGCTAATCACAAGAACAATCCTCCTCATATATATCACACCCTAAGATGATAACTTAATTCAAACAATAATGGATGATGAAATAGAATGAAATGAAGATATTTCGGTTGCAAAACTCAAAACAAGATTATAAATCTTTTTTGAAATTTAAGAGGAAATGTGTATTGTGAGTTCGAAATCATAAAGTGGATATGTATGTTATGAAAATTAGGTAAGGGGTTTGGAAAATGATTCATATATATGTCGGAGATCTGACACGAAAAATGAGAGAAAAATGTTATTTGATTGAGTCATAAAAAATACGTATGAGTCGATTTAAGAGAGTAAATGATTTGAATCAAGATCCAAGAATTAAGAAAAATTTCTCCCATGTTTCAAATCAACATTTTGTATAATTCGAGTCATGTGATTTGAGTCAACAAAAACTCTACTATGAATCAAGTTCGTTGAATAAAGATCCAATATCTGATGTCTGGGTATGATTCTAGTTATGAATACTTGTGATTCTAATCAAACCTCTACGATTTTAGTCATGGATTGTTGTGATTAAAATAAAACTTATAAAAGCAAAATCCTGTTTTTCAAAAATATGTTTGATTCAAGTCACGAACTTTTATGATTTGAATCAAACTCACAAAAGTAAAACCTTGTCTTTTCCACATAATTTGATTTGAATCTTGTCAGCCTATTATTCGAATTACACTTCACAATTCTCAATTTTTTTAATCAAAATGAAGTTCTATTTTGAATCCAAACTTGGCATGACATAAGCCATTCTCAAGTGTACTTCTTTATTCAAAATTTTGACTATTTCACTAGAGGCATATTGTTAGGACTATAATCAAATAATTTGATTAATTCATAGGTTAAAATAGATTAAGAACATAATTTTAAGGTGCACAATAAGTTAGGAGACTCATTAATGAAAGAATAAACTAAAAGCTAAATTGATAAGCAACAAAAACATAAACAGATAAACCCTATGAATAACATAAAAGATATAAATCAAATCTAGAATCACATTAAATTCTCCCAATTTAACAAGAGCAAAAAAAGATTCACGTTAATGATCCTAAATACAAAATAACCAACTACACAAAAAACAATCAAAGAAATAAGTTTTATACATAGCTAAGAAGGATATACATCAAATAAGAATATATCTGAGATATATGATGGAATACACATGCCAGATGCAACACATATGTACAATACGACATGAAACTAATCAATAAAAAACTATATGTGATCATGATATACACACATGGAAGATTAAATAATGCATAAACAATTTTAAAAATTGTTCGAAATGCACATAACACTTAAAAAGATTTTAAATTCACAATGAACATTCATTTATTCATTAGCTTAGAAATTATGAAAGTAAAGTGACATATTAGAAGTAAACATATAAACATATAGAATATATTATAAATATAATAAAACTAAAGATAAAATTTGTAAGGATCGTACCAATAGAGTTGGTTTAGATGTAACTTGCTACATGGGAAATGTTAGTTTACAAAAAAGAAAGAAGAAATAAACTAGAGATCTAAATCTATTTATAACACGAAGAATCCAAGATTCTCAATTTCATACGAATCTTTTGAAGAGATTATGTGGATAACAGTTTTGTAAAGGTATTATCTAATTGATTTTTCGTATCCACATACTCAAACGTAACATCTTCCTTTTCAACATGATTTCCATGGAAATGGTATCAAATTTTTATATGTTTAGTGCTTTAATGTAGCACATGATTCTTAGTAAGAATTATAGCGTTAATGTTATTACATTTGATTAGAATGCATTAGAGTTTAAAATTATAATCCAATAATTGTTTCTTTAGTCTTAATACTTATATACAATAGTTACTGGCGGCTACGAATTCATCCTCGAAGGTATAAAGAGCAACGCTTTTCTCTTTTTTTATTGTACCAATGAACTATACAATTTCCAAACAAATGACAAGTACCACTAGTACTCTTCCTATCCGATTTGTAACCAGCAAAATCATAATCGGAGAATCCTATTAATCTACACTCACTTCCCTTGGGAAACCAAAGACATTGATGCGAGGTTTTGTTAAGATACCTAAAAATTCTTTTGACGGTCTTAAAGTGGAATTCCCTATATGACTCTTGAAATCGAGTGCACATGCACACGCTTAACATAACATCAAGCTTACTCATATTTAAATAGAGTAAAGATTCTATGATACCTCTATATTTGGTAATATTGATCTAAACGCCTTGTTCATCTTTATCTATCAACAAATTTAAAGCCTGGTAGTAGAGATGCTTTTGAATCTTCCATAATATTTCTTTATAAGCTCAAAGCAATAATTTTTTCATCCCTTAACAAGTAAAGAATTAGATATAGTCTTTGGTTTAATTTGGTAGATGAAATAAAAATACTTATAGAAATTATTAACCTGAGACCGAGTACTTACGCCCTTTATGATATCACCAATTATGTTATCTAATAGGTGGTCTTTTGCAACAATCCATTCTTGAGGCACATGAGTTAATGTATCTTGTTTTTATTCCTCGTGTTCTTTATCCTCTTTATCATTCTTAATAACCTCGTCTTTCATAGGATCCTCTTTGGTAGTGTTATCTTTGACCAATTCTTTCATTATTATACCTAAAACATCAAAAGCAGAAATACCACCTTTTCTAACCTTTATAGTTTAGTGTCATCAAAAACCACATGGACATACTCTTTAACAAAAAATGTTCTATTTGAAAACTCTATATTCCCTACTCGATGATGAGTACCCTAGAAAAGTTCCTTCATTGAACTTTACATCAAACATACCAAGTTTATCCCTGCTGTTATTTAAAATATAGCTTTTGCATCCAAAAAAGTGAAAGTGGGAAATATTAGGTTTCATACCTTTAAGTAGGTCATTGGGCATCTTCTCTAGAATGAGTCAAATCACCACCATTTTTAAGACGTGGCATGTGGTGTTAATCGCATCCGCTCAAAAGTACTTAGGTAAACTCATTTCATTTATTATTATCTAGGCATATTCTTATAAAACACGGGTTTTATGATCAACAAAACCAATATGTTGTGAAGTACGCGGGAAATAGAATTTATGAGTTATTCCATTTTCATTGCAAAAAAAAATTCAAACTAATGGTTTACAAACTCACCACCATGATCACTTTGAAGATTGACAATATTCAAGTTAAAAAGGTTATGGATAAGCTTAAAAAACTTAACAAAAGCTTTAAAGGTCTCTTCCTTATGGGCTAGGAATAACTTCCAAGTAAATCAAGAATAGTCATCCACAATAACAAAGTTGTAATGTTACCTTCTAGACTCTGTCCTTGAAAGGCAAAAAATATCTAGATTGAGAAGCTCGGGAGGTTTTGAAGTTGAAACAACACTTTTAGGTTTAAAAGAAACTCTCGTTTGCTATTTCATTTGGAAAGCATAAAAAAGCTTATCTCTTAAAATTTGTATGTTGGGTAGACCAACTACTAGTTTTCTATATATTATCCTATTCATCAAGTTAAATTATATGTGTCCTAAACATTTGTGACATAATGATGAATCTTCATTATCAGTGACCAAATATTTAGTTCCATGCCTTAACACATCATCTAGGTCTAGTAAATAGATATTATCAAATCTAGAACTCTTAAACACAAAACTCTTACTAGCCTCATGTTCAATTAGGAAACTCAAAGTATAAAAAACATTTGAATATCCATTGTCACATAAGTGACTAACGCTTAATAAGTTGTGTTTAAGCCCTTTAACCAATAAAACACCATTTATGGTTATTAAAGAGGTACTTCCAACAAGATATTCTCCTAGAATTTTACCTTTATTGTTGTCTTCACAAGTGATGTGACCTTGTTCTTTATGATCAAACTTGATGAAAATTCAAGCATATTCCGTCATGTGTCTTGAATATCCACTATCTAGGAACCATATCCTTTTTACGGAGGTAATATCATCCTATAAGAATTCAAACAGGTAAATCAGGTGCCGAGCTAGTAGGTCTTTGAGGGTTATCAAAAGATCACTTAGGTATATATGTCATAATACCATTAAGAACTTTAATATTCCTAGCATGGAAAAGAAGCCAAATGTTTCCTTTTTTTCTCCACAATAATGATAGATTACTTTAGATGAAACATTCTTTCAATATTTTTTTAGTAAAGTGAGGGTTTTTCTTAAATTTATTCCTTATTTCACTTGAAGAAGTGGAAATAATATTATATAATGAAATGGCCTTGGCTAATTTTCCTTTTAGGTTTTCATTTTCAATTTTCAAAGCCGAACTAGTGTCACAATCCCTTTTAACTAACCTTTTGGCCAAAGCATCTGGAACACGTAATTGTTTGCTTACAAGAGATGCATGAACTTCCTATAAGGATTATGAGGAATTATTAATATCACAAATTTCTTTATCAAATCTTAAAATCAGTTTTATTTGATGATAGATTTTCTTAAATGCACCTAAGGCGTTAACATGCATTTATTTAAACTCTTTTGACAATTTATTGTAACACGGTTTAAAATTAGAATCAAAATCATACACGTTTGAGTCTTTACCATTTTTGTTTTCCATGAAGCACATATTTTCAAATTCATCATTTGAGCTTGAACTAGAAGATGAAGAAGATCTGTTGTTTTCGTCTTCCCAAGGGATATACGCCTTCTGAACTTTAGTACGATTACCCTTCATCTTATAGGAGTCTTTATCCTTCTTTTTGTTGTGATTTTTGAGAATTTGACATGTATTATGGTAATGAATTTACTTTCCACATTCATAGAATATAAAATTTTATTCCTTTTTCTTTTATTCATTCTTATATGGATGAGATTTCTTAAAGTTGATCAAGTTATTGTGGGAGTCCTAGAGCCGTAGTTTCTTTATATATTGATTGTAGTGCTTGATGAATAACTCCATTTATAACTTATTGAAATAATCTTCATTTAAACTTTCATCGTCTTCCTCTAATTTCCTTTCCTTGGATGAAAAGGATTTCAATGAGATGTATCACTTCTCTTATTTTCGTTTCTCTTTATTTTTATCATTTACTTCACTTTCAACGAGCCTTCTTAATTCATTTTCATTCAAAATTATTTTTTCAAATCAGGTTGTGTTAGATGACAGAGCCTTATCTAGAGGGGGAGTGAATAGACCACCAAGCTAAAAAATCCAGAAACATTTCTTATTTTAAACTTATTTAGAATAGAGTGCACGCAAAAAGTTTTTCAAAAAGTGTCGTCTATACGAACCACGTTATTGGAAGTCAGATATGAAAATATAAAAGTACTATTATGGAATGAATACAATAATTTGGAATTTATAAAATTCAATCAAGTAACAAGATATTAATTGTTTATAGCAAGTTACTAGCAATACTATTTCTAATGGCAGTTATCAAAAGAACAAACAAAACAATTTGTTGAATACTTGGCGTGCAATCAAATCTTCATAGTTTTCCTTTGACTTGTGTTGATACAAAAAGACACTTATAATCGAAAGTGATTATAAGCAATATGAACACCTAATTCAAAATAAATACAATTTCGGAAAAATCCTACGAGTCGATTAAATGCTCGATGCTATTAGAAAAATTGATTGATGAAAATTAAAGCAAGTAAAATGATAAGAAAAAAAGACACGAGGATTTGTCTACACAGTTCCCCATTTTTTTCCTCGTGTATTGGTACGTCTGCACCTAATTCCAATTTAGAATTAGGATAATTCTTACTATCCAAAAGTTGATACAAGAGAAGTGTTCCAAGAACAACCCTACAAACCCTAACCGTTTATTGTTGATTTAACCCTTCTCTTCTTTTGATCTTGAGAAAGACCAAGACACAATAGATCCTAATTGACTTGTCAATATTTCTACTCCTTTGCATTATTTATCTCCAAATCTTTAGAGCATGATCAATTGTACCTATTGCAACACAAGACTTCAGTTTAATTCTCCGTTGTCGTGTTACTTCCTTTTGGTTCTTTATCTCCAAAGGATCCTTTGTGTTCTTTATCTAGAAATGCTTTCACTAGGCTGAAATCATGTCTAGAACGTTTTTCACGAAAATCTACATGTTGTACCCCCAAATTTTCCCTCTCATTTCACTCAAGACATGTGTCTAGAGGTCCTCAATTGCTCAAGGATGACTAAGGATTGACCAGACAAATCCTCCTTCTGAGGCAACAAGCTTCAAACTAGGGTTTCACTCCTTATCAAGATTGTTGAAGTCCAAGGGTCCCAAATTATTTCCAGGGTCGAAATATGTTCTCAAGATCATCCATGTCAAGTTTCATGCCTTGCACAAGAAGTTTGCTCAGTCCATTGCCCAAATGCCTGAAAATCAACTATACTAGGTCAAAAGTCAATTGTGGCCCACATACAGTCAAACTTCAATATTTTTGGCCAACATCAACATTTTGAATATATATCCATCATTTGATCAAGGTTTTATCATGATTCCTCAAGGAATGCCCCCAAATTCATCATAACCTAAAAGTGGCTAAATTAGGGTTTCATAGGAAAAGTCAACCAAACTTTGACCAGGCATAACTTCTTCATACTTTATTAGAAAGTTTCCATCCAAGGCTCATTTTGAAAAGGATGCAATTCCCTACAACTCATCTTCATCCCACAATTTCAAAATATGCACTCATCAAAAGATTTGAATTTCTACATTATAGGTCCTTTTGAAAAGTCAACAAAAACACCTTTTGGGTCAAAGATTCTTACATGAACATGGAAGACCCAATTGAGATGAAACAAAAAGGGTTGTTTAGGGGATATCCTAAGCTTTCTAAAAAGTCCAAGAACACCTCTCTAGGATTAAAATTGGAGGAGATATGCCTTGTCAAAGTTGACCATTTTTGCAAAATTGCCAAAAGTCAAATGTGCTCAAAAATACATTTTTTGTCAAATGGGCCTAGCATTTCATGATTGTATCTTGTTTGTGACATGGTAAAAGACCCAAATCATCCTCCATATATTATTTGCTTATTTATTTATTTATTTTATTTTGATTTTTATTTATTAAAAGTTAGATTAAATCAAATAAATTGCAAAAAATATAAAAGATTGATTTTTGATCTGATTTTTTATAGGAATCAAATCCAATTAGGCTGGCATATCATATCAAATCGTGCAAGGGATGATTGAAGCAAAATTGGCATGACTATGATTGTTTTGGAAAGATATAATACAAGAGCAAAATCAAATCCAATTTCCATGATTCACAAAGATTTAATTTTGTTTTTGTTAACCTAATCAGTTATACTACATATATACAACATACCCAAGCCAAAAGGAGAATGATTGCAGGTCGTGAAAGCTGCGAACAAAACTCAAATTTTGGGGAAAAAGTAGTGGATCATTCTCCAACCTAGTGGGAAATTCAAAGCATTTCAAAGCTACCAATCGATTCTTGGACATCTCCATAACGTTCTGCAATCATTTTCCAGTTCTCCCAAGCCCAGAAATAGGACATACGATCATCACAGTTTTCTTCTTTTTAAAATCCAATTACTATGATTCTTTCATCATGAACATGTTTTAATGGTATATCTGTGTTGGTTGTCATGTTTGCAACGTATTGGATTGGTTTAATTGATATTTTGATGCATATACTGATGAATGCCATGGCTAGGGTTTGAAGTCACGTTTTAGGGCTTCTTGATACAGGTGAAATTGGCCCAAGAAAAGGGTACCATGATGCTCTTGGCATCAAGACAAGTTGAACCATGGTCTTTAATTTTATTTATCATGCATTTTTCTTGATTTTTGAAGTGTACAGGTTATGGCTACAGACGCTTGTCTGTAGGTAAAAGTGTTTAGCCAAAGGCGACGGATCTGCGAAGAAGACAACAACGTGTCTAACCGCTATTGGCTTATTTGAATTTCGCGCGCTTATTGGAGTCATTCACGTTTTTTTATATATTACTTATTTTTGTTATTATATTGATAACTAAACCTGATAGCCCAGATGGAAAGGCGTGCGTTGTGTAAGTAAGAGGACCTGGATTCGATCCTATGTCCCAGCATTTTCTTTATTTTCCTAACATTTAAACGTAGGTTCTATATATTACCTTGCCAAGCGTCCATCATGCGCTACCACCATCCAGCCAATGGATTCATTGCTAGCAAGATCCAACACCTCAACCAAGGAAGGACTATGGTGCACTCCCAGGCTGGCACAACAGGGAATCACACGCATGGAATGGGCTCAACTTCATGGGCCTAAGCAATTCAGCATCATACCCCCTCATTCAGCTTCTAACAGGCCCATTCTATCTTTTTTATTTTAATTCTTTTAATTATTTTCTAATTATTTTCTTTTTTAAAAATAACACAAAAATCATTACTTTTTTCATTTAATCAAAAAATCTTAAAAAACATCCCAAATCATTTTTCATAAAAAATATTTTATTTATTTAATTAATTAATTATTTTAATTAAATTAAGACAATTTAATTCTTTCTTTTGTCATAATTTAAAATAATTAGACTTAGGGTTTAATTTTGTATATAATCTGATTTTTTCTCAAAAAACTAACCTAAACATTTTTTTAATTAGATCTTTTAGGTTTTGCTAATTATTCTCGCATTTAATTCGTCGCATGCATTTTTTAATTTCCTTTTTATTATTATTTTAACTGCTCCGAGTTTGTAAAAGTAATTAGGGTTTCAATTCCGCATCTTTATTTTCGGTCAAAATAATTATGTATCTGCAAAAGCCCTGTAATAGCTAGGACTTTAACTTTCCCGCTTTAATTTCTGCAAACTATAAATTGCTTAGATGTATGTTAATAGGATTGTATGGAAAGACAAACTGAAAGTTAATACGGTAGAAAACCCTAAATGTGCAAAGATAAATTAATTGAAAATTACACTCGCACATGCTCACTCCTAGGGTTTCCTCCACTCCAGTTGCCTTCGGTAAACGGTCATGAAGTATAGGGTTTGTTAGTGGTTGTCCTCTAGCCCTGAAACATCTAAAATGACCCATTCAGATGTTGCCTCGGAAAAAGATCTTTAAGGCTTTAGGATGATGACTAACATTTCCTAACATTGCTTTTGCAATCGTATTTGTCCCTTCGAATGTCCCTAAAAAACTCCAACGACGATGCTACCTATTTCTCAATAATGGGATAGAATTGTCTAAAAGGAAAACAAATAGACCTTTTTCGAGTAGGTAGATTAGTTCCTAGGTACTTTCTCAAACAAACAATAACTTTTTCACACCAACACTTTTCAAACAAAGTTTTCAAAAACAACTCCGTAACACTCTTGAGGACAGAAACAAGGGTTAATACGAAGTAAAACAAAACTTTTCAAAACAAGCACACACAAGCAGTTTTCAAAATGAGTAAGTACCTAAGATCCCGTGGAAAACCACAGATAGAAAGGGTGCTAACACCTTCCCTTTCTATAATCTACCCCCCGTACTCAGAAATATCTCAAAAAAGGTTTTTTTCTGTTCTTTTTCCTTTTCCTGATTGGATAAAATAAAAGTCGGTGGCGACTCTTGCTTACCACGACATTTGCGAACAAAAAACACAAACCATTATTAATAGTCCATTCTGCCACCGTATCACAGAACTGGCGACCCTGCTAGGGAATAAAATATAAAGTGGGGTAAACCTTAGGATCTAGGTCATATTTAATTGCTTTCTCTTGATTGTCTTGCTTGCTTTATATTTATG